AATTTGCTAGGTCCAATTGTACAAAGTGATAGTCTTGCATAGTATGGTTATATTCGTTAAAAAACTATTCAAATTATATAGAATATAAGTAAAAGTATTTGATTTACCTCTGAAATTTTGTACGCAAATAACACATGCTAGTAAAATAATTATTTTTTGTAACAGACTGATATTATAGGATTTGTAGTATATTCAATAACTTGATACTCAAATCACCGATGACGCAAAATTTGCTTAAATAAGCTTTATAGTGTCCTAACTCCTTACAAAAGAAAAAAACGCTAAATAGTCCTAATTGACATCGCAAGTTACGGCAACGTGCCAGTGGCATCTAGGTCTAATTTTTTTTTAGGTCAAAATCTAGTCCTAATTGGTTCTGCTGTTTCTTGATTATGTTGTATGCTTCCGAATTAAAATTGTATTAAAATAGCATGTGAATGAGCATTTGTCTTTAATTAAGGGGTAAAAAGAATTTAAAGTATAAACAACAAACTATAAACGGTTTATGAAATAAATTATGAGAAAGTTTTAAATTTTAAAATTGACTGGTGATAGGGTTAGTTATATTCCACTACTTTTTATGTATTAAAATAAATACAAAAATCTATTCCGTTCTTGGAATTTTTTTTAGGGTTAAATATAGTAAACTCCCTTAACTTTACATTTATCTGCATTTTACCCCCTCAAGTTTATATTTAGTTGCACATTTGTGATTTTTTTTGAAACATGATTCTAATTTGCAAAGCTCATTTGTAGGGGTGGTTATAGGATTAGCGTGGTGACAAATATTTCTTAATTATAAAAATATAACATTGTATTAAAATAGCATATGAATAAGCATTTGTCTTTAATTAAGGAGTAAAAAGGATTTAAAGTATAAATAACAAACTATAAATGGTTTATGAATTAGATAGTGGGAATGTTTTAAATTTTAAATTTGATTTGTGATAGGGTTGATTATAACCCACTACTTTTTATGTATTAAAATAAATACAAAAATTTAGAAAAAAGAATGAGAAGTTTGAAAATCATTAAGAGGGTCTCTGCTAGAGACCCTTTCTACAATACATATAGATATAGATATAGATACCCTGTGAACAACTAAATACTTCTACAACTATAAAAAAAAAAAATTGCACGAACTAAACAAAAATGACGACTCCGAAGCCTAGGCCAATCAGCCATGTTGTCCTTCCTCCTGGATTTATTTGTCCTAACCCATGTATCTGCATGTTATCCAAAATGCAAGTTTGGAGGAACAAAAAGAAAGCCCTTCCCTTCTCCAAGTACGGACTACAGAATAAATGATAATACCTTTTTCGCCCGGCATTTTCGCTTGTCCCAGAACCATATCAACCGCGTTATGCAAAATGCAAGTTCTACAGTGCCAAAGAAATCCCTTCTCTATTCCCCTGCATTAACTAGAAATTACGTAGTACTTCTGTGCTTTGCACTTCTGGATCTCCTCAACCGGTTGCTCCCGTGCAAAAAAAAAAAAAATCTCCCGCACTCAATAAGGAGCAACAATATTCGATTTGAAGGGCAACCAAACTCTGGAAAATATTTTATTGATCTCACAACAGCAAGGAGAAACATGCTTTTAAATATTAAAAAAAAAAGGGAAAATCGTCCAAAACGTCCCTCACATTTTGTAAAATAACTTTTTTCGTCCCTCACTTTTAAAAGTGTAATTTTATATCCCTTACATATTCACATCGGACAAATTTAGTCCCTAATTAGGTTTCCGATCATTTTTTGGCCGGAATCCATCATGTGCAAGGCACATGATCATTTTTGAAGGGTAAATTATATTTTACATAATCTCATCTATAGTCCTCCAAATTTTATAAAATAAATTTTTTCGTCCCTCACATTTTGTCAAATGATTTTTTTTCATCCCTCACATTTCACAAAATGAATTTTTCATTTCTCACTAATTATATGTGTGAATACATTTTTATAAACACACATATATGTTTATTTGATTTTGTTTAATAATAATAGTATAAACACATGTATGTAATTGGGCTCAACTTGTGGGCTATTTTCTTTTTCTTTTTTGTATGATTATGACTAATATTTACCAATAGAATCTTAATTTGCATATTCTTATTGTATTTTGACCGAAAATAACTTTATTGGCTAACTTGACAATGAATGCAAGATTATTTACTAGCTAATACCAGATGAAATCAAATGATCACGTATAATATATGGTATTCGTATTGTTAAGTGAAATCAAATAGACACATACATATATTTATACTATTCGGATTATTAAGCAAAATCAAATAGACATATACTTGTATTTAAACAAAATGTATTCACACACATTTTTTTTTAGGGTTTCCCTCACATACATAATTAGTGAGGGATGAAAATATTAATTTTTTGAAATGTGAGGGATGGAGAAATTCATTTTGTGAAATGTGAGGGATGAAAAAATCATTTTATAAAATGTGAGGGACGAAAAAATTTGTTTTATAAAATGTGGAGGACTATAGATCAGATTATGTAAAATATAATTTGACAAATTTACCCTTAAAAAATGATCACGTGCAAGGCACGTGATGGATTCCGGCCAAAAAATGATCGAAAACCTAGTTAGGGACTAAATTTGACCGATGTAAATATGTAAGGGACATAAAATTGCACTTTTAAAAGTAAGAGATGAAAAAAGTCATTTTACAAAATGTGAGGGACGTTTTGGACGATTTTCCCTAAAAAAAATTTGGACTACTTTTTAGAATATTTTAAAAAAATTTTATAGTATATAAAATTTTAATTTTTAAAAAACTGATGAATCCAAACAGTTCTTTTATTCTTAGGTTTTTCTAATAAGTGTTCACGAACACTTTGTTAGCATATCTAAATAATATTTAATCTATTATATGAATAAAGAAGACACTTGTAATTATTAACTTCTCTTACATTTATATGCCTTTTTTCAATTGATCTCGGCTCTGTTTGGATTAGCTGTTTTTGGGGTTGTTTTTCAAAAACAGCACTGTAGCATTTTGTTTTTTAAATACAAGTCCGTTTGGATTAGTTGTTTTTGGAGTTGTTTTTCAAAAACTATATGAAAAACTTTTACTATATATGTTTTATGGATTATTTTTAGAGGTATTTTTAAAACATATTTTTTGGTATTTTTATAATTTATAATTTATATTTTTAATTTTTATATACATTTATGCATTTATACTACATTTATAAATATTTATAAATAAATATATTTATATATTCTCTAAAAAATATATAAATGTATTATATTATATATAATACATAATATAAAAATAGTAATAAATATATAAGTGTATATTATTATAAATGTATAAATTATAAATGAATATTATATAAATGTATAAATTAAAATTTATAATTTATAATTTTTATATTTTTATATAAATATACATTTATGCATTTATAATACATTTATAAATATTTATAAATAAATATATTTAAAAATATATAAATTTATTATATTATATATAATAAATAATATAAATATATTTATAAATATATAAGTGCATATTATTGTAAATGTATAAATTATAAATGAATATTATATATGTATAAATTATAAATTATAAATTTTATATTTTTATATAAATATATATTTATGCATTTATAAATATTTATAAATAAATATATTTATGTTTTTATATAAAAATATATAAATGTATTATATTATATATAATACATAATATAAATATATTTATAAACGTATAAGTCTATATTATTATAAATGTATAAATTATAAATGAATATTATATAAATATATAAATTATAATTTTATTAATATATATTAATATTAAGTATAAATGTATTAATATAATTAATATAAATGTACAAATATATTAATATTATGTAAATATAAAATTAATTTTATGTATATTAATATAAATGTATAAATGTATTACAAATGTATTATATTATATATAATACATAATATAAATGTATATTATAAATATACATTAATATATATATTATGTATAAATGTACATTTATATAAATGTATAATATATATAATATATAATATATGTTATATTATATATAATTTATATAATATATAATACTCATATAAATATATAAAAATATTTATAATATGTATAAATAAATATATAAATATTTAATATATATAATATACATTAATATTAATTATAAAGATTATAATATTATAAATATGGTGTTTATATAATATTTCAATTTGTAATGTTTATTGTATATTTCATTATATAAATATGCATATAATATATAATATATAAATTTCAATTTGTATAATATACATAATATTGTATATATATAGTATAATATACATAATATAATATATTATACATAATATACATTATTACATATTATGTATATTATATATTGTACATAACATTATTATACACAATAATATACATAATAATATTATACATTAATAATGTATATATTATAATATAATGTACATAATATATTATGTATAAATATTTACACATTTATGTGTACAATATTACATATTATGTATATTATATTATATTATGTATAATATACAATATTATGTATAATATTAATTTATATAAATATTTATATTATATATAATATATATATATAATTTTCAATTTGTATATTTCAATTTATATTAATATAATATAATATATATATATATAATATACATAATTGAAATATACAAATTGAAATATAGATATGTAGTTGTTTTTGATATAATGTTTGGATATGTTGTTTTTTGAATTGTTTTGGAAATATACATTTACTGTAACATTTGAAATGTGAAAAATAATTTTTCAAAAACAACCTTAAAAACAAGGGATCCAAACACGCCCCTCTCCATTTTTCTAAAAAAAATTTAACACGTAAACGCATCGGTACTTATCCACAAAAGAATTAAATGAGTCTACGCAATCTTTTGTGGCACAAAAATGTTTCGGTGGTATCCAGATAAGAGACGTGTTTCGGTGTTATCTTATCTGCAAAATTCCAATTTCTAACCTCAAAGCCAAGAGGTAGACATGAGGTCAGATTTTTTTTTTTTTTTTTTTTAAAATATATGGCGGACTCATCACTTTTTTCGGTGTTCTTAAGATTGGCTCTTATACCATAGAGTTGAAAAAACCATCGACGAGCAAAAGCTTCCGGCAGCATCTGCAAATATGGCGGCACTGAATTGTATAGACCTCTCCAATTCCGACATACAAAAATCTGTCTCTCTCCTCAGACAGGCAGGCACTCCACTCCTTTTCTTTTTATTCCCCCCCCCCCCCCCAACAACACCTGCTATTTTTGTGCATTCTTTGGTCTATCTGTGGGGTAAATTTACAGTTTTTTCCGATGATGAGTAATTTAGTTTGAAGGTTGAAGAACTAAAGGAGTGAATATATCAGTAGAAAGTGGGACTAATACTTCTTAGCAAGTAATGAATTGTTCAGTTGTTAAGTTAGTATATAATATTTCCATGCAACGATGCAATAGATACAGTAAGTAACGTAACGTAACTCTGCGTCTCAATTCTATGATCACTTTTATTGATTAGTGCTGCATTAATTTGTTATTGCAGCTATACATGGATAACCTGTTCTTGCCTGCACAAATACTCTTACAATAATATACACCTTTATCTAAAGCCGTTTCCATTCTCCATATCAGTGCTTACCAATGATTGGCATCATTCTGGGAGTTGAGTTACTTACTCCTAATGATGTTATCGTTTATTTAGGCTTGCTTGGACTCTGGATTTTTTTATGTAGTCAATCATGGCATCAGCCCAGAATTTATGGATGAGGTCTTTTCTCAAAGCAAAAGGTTCTTTAGTCTACCGCTTGATGAAAAGATGAAGCTTCTCAGGAATGAAAAAAACCGTGGTTACACTCCTCTTCTAGATCAGCATCTGGATCCTGTCAACCAGATACATGGTTTGTTTTCTCATACCTATTGCGTTTATCCTAATTTTTATATCCGATGGTTGTTTTTACCAGAATATAAGGACAGGTGTAGCCAATGTATTATACAAGTGAATAGTTGGAGTTCATTCTCTCGTCGCTTTAGAGTATTTTCATTTTCAGCTACACTTTCCGGCCTTACATGTTGACTATATCAACTCCTGGTTGTGGCTATATTTAGCATTGCTATCAAATGTCACTTATCAGGCCTCTTTTATGTTGTTTATATGCTCCTTTTCTTTCTGCATCCTCTGTTCTCTTATGTGATGTTTGTACATGCCACTTACCAGAATGAGCAGCAGAACTAAGTTCGTGTTTTTATTTGAGCTAAGCATTTCTGTGCCCTGATGTTCTTGTAGGAGATTATAAAGAAGGATATTCCATTGGTGTGGAAGTACCAGAAGATGATCCTCAAGCCGAAAAACCACTTCTTGGACCAAACTTGTGGCCTACAGCAGGTAACTTTGCTACACAATCATTGTTACATGTTGAACATCAATCTTGCTTCATAAATCTTGCAAATCTTTTGGTTAAAAGTGGAATTTTTTTTTCTGTAAAGATATTTTGCCTGGATGGAGAGAAACTATGGAGAGATACCACCGCGAAGCACTGTAAGTATTGAGATGCCTATCATGTATCAGAAAAACTATCTATTTTTCTTGCATGTGGTTCTACTCATCGGTGCTGCAGAAGTAACTTAATATCAAGTACTGACCTGAATCATCTTTGCTGTTGTATGAGTAAGCAGCAGATCAATATAGTTAATCATATTGATTAATCATCTTTGCGTGCAAGGGTATATTTTTTTCTTAACCAATTTGCAGTTCCATCACCTTAACAACATTTGATGTGTTAAATTCTGATGAAATTGGTTGTTGGGCCACTTAGATTGTAAATTGCTGGCCATCCGGTTAAATTACTTAATTCGATGTCACTGATGCATAAGATGTTATATCTCTGCTCCCACGCGGTTGTATATTTACAAAATCAGATAAATCATTATTTCTTTTAGCGGAACAGTCATTATTGATGAATATGTGTCATCAAATCGTGTTGAGTAAGTCCAAATACATAGATTTTGTATTCGCTCTCATTTCTAATACATTAATTGATTAGACTTAGACACAATTTTTTGAGTCGCCTATGATGTCTTTAATCGCTTGCTTGAATCCACACATTCACTGTTAATTCTTCCTAGTTTGAAGAATGGAATTCTGTGTTTAATTATCAGGTAATTAAACAATGATCACCACATTTCTCAAGCGAGAACCTATCATTTTGTTCATCATTTGACCATTGAAATATTGGTGCTTTTCATTTTGGAAAGGCTTATCTTGTTCCAAGGTACAATACTAGTCAATGATGTTGAAATGAAACTGAAGTCGTTGTCTGGTTCTGCATCTTTTCTTTTGCCAAATTTGAAAGGTTCTTGATTATCATCTTGTGATGTACTTTCAGCAGTTCTTTCCAAATGTTCCTACATTTAGCTCTACATCTTGCAGACTGCTTTTACAGCTTGTTTGATACTGACATCCTCTCTATCTTTATTCTTGCGTTCAGTGAGGTTGCAAGGGCAGTTGCTAGAATTATAGCCCTAGCACTTGACCTGGATGGAAACTTTTTTGATCAATCAGAAATGCTAGGCGATCCTATTGCAATTTTGCGGCTGCTACATTATGAAGGTCAGGTTGTGGACAGTTTCCTAAAAGAAGGCTGTATTTATAAGCTGACATGAGCTTGATTAATTTCAGGTAAAATCTCTGAACCAGAGAGCGGAATATATGGTGCAGGTGCCCACAGTGACTTTGGCTTGCTTACCTTGTTAGCCACAGATGATGTCACTGGTCTTCAGGTATACACAAACGTTGGAATTAGATTGATTAGGAATGATCCCATAATTATTCTTGAGTGGGACCATGAACCTGCTGTTCCATTGCAGATATGCAAGGACAAGCATGTTGAGCCTCAGATTTGGGAATACGTGTCACCAGTAAAAGGGTAAGGCCTTTTTCTCTCAAAGATCAGTTTCTCTTGAGTAGAAACGAATTTTCTGTTCCCGATTCCTTGTTTGGTGTGTTTGGACATTTCATCATACATATATTCAAAAAAAATTAAAAAAGGATATTTTGCAGTCACTCCATAGATTAAAAAGTCTTCAGCTCATGAATTAGTATAGGTCATTAACCTAAAGAACTTTCTTATGGTCATGCTTTTGGCATTCTGCCATTCTTATTTTTATTTGAGGACTTCTTGTTAAATTATTGTTGCAGCATAACTGTTATAGATTAGTCCCAATGATAAGTATCATGCTGCATTCTATGATGGCTGCAAATAAATAGTTGATGCACGATATGCAGAGCATTTATTGTGAATCTTGGAGATTTACTGGAGCGCTGGAGCAATTGTTCTTTCAGGTAATTATGAGTTTCTACTAAGCACAGTAATCCTTTTTTCCCCCTCCTGAAAAAATGAGAATGGATCTTGAGCTATTGCAACTGCATTTTTCTTATCTGTGTTTTAACACAAATTATGCCAATAATTGAATGTCAAACACAGACAAGGAGTTCCCATATTTTACCAGTCTTTTCTAGAAGCATTCAGTTTTTAATTAGACAGCTGTTTCAGTCAAGGAGCTCTCATGTTCTAGCACACATTGAACCTCATTATCTTTATGGTGGTTTCGGTGTAAGAAAAACAATCACTGATGTCTGAAGTTACAAACTCTTCGTAAAAGCAGTCATCCATATTCACTGGTTGGGTTATGAAGTTTGATAATTCAGGAAACCTGAAAATTTATAGTTGAGGGCCTGGAATTTATGGTTTCATGGAGATAAAATAATTGAATATCCAATTTACTGAACTTTCATCTCCGTGATGTTGAAATTGTTCTGTTGTGGGGATCATTTTCAGGTCAACAATACATCGAGTCTTGGTTAGCAGTCAAGAAAGATATTCTGTAAGGCTTTCTGAACCTCCTTATGTTCTGCAACAGCAATGTTTTGTTGGAATGAGATCCTCATCTTAAACAGTGTCTGCGTCAAATATATTAGCACAAGGAAAGTTTCAAACGTAGTTCTAAATAGTTAAATCTTTCTCAAGCCATAGCTTTACAGATACAGTGGACATTACAAGCTCAGCTGATTTCTCCATGAGAAATTTAGTTCTGTAAGCAGCGATCAGTGCCTTGCTAATTTCTTCTCTCTGTGATGGTGGGCAGATTGCTTTCTTCGTGTTTCCGAGTTTCAATTGTGTTGTCAAATGCTTGCCAACCTGCCACTCAGAGGATGATCCTCCGAAGTATGTATTGCATTTAGATACATGATATGGGATTTTGTAGGTCATTGTTATCCTTCTTTTAGTTGTTTTGGCCAGAAGAGATCTGCGATTGGTTGCAATGTTCACGTACGTAAAAAGTTTGGTCGTTAATTCTTAATTACAAGTTTTGTCTTTTTTCCGTCAAAATTCGCTCTTGGTCCTCTTGGAATCGGTAATAGTAGATGCCAAGCTGTTTAGTTAGTAAATTTAGTTTGACCTCTAACATCCAAGGTGGATCAGCGGAAAACCTTTGTATGTTTTGGCCAGATGTAATGGTGTCATTGTGCCATTGATTTATTGTATCTGTATTCAGGTACCCACCCGTCACATGTGGAGCTTACTTGATGCAGAGATATGAAGATACGTATGTTGATCGGAGCTCCTAGGATAGTTCGACCCTTGATTGCCAAGGCATCAGTTGTTTCATGTAACGGATGGTAGATAAACATTGGAGGTGTTTGGATAGGTGATATTTGAAATAATATTTCAAATAATATTGACCTTTTCCTCAAATAATGAGGCATAGCTGAAATAATGTTTGGACCATGAAATCATCCTATTCAAAGAAGTCAATGGTGGTAGATGCTTATTTGGACATGTAGTTTGACTCTGACGATAATGGAAGGAAACCCAACTGCCACGTAGATGTAAGGATAAAACTTTGCTCTCTATTCTTCAATCAGGACAACCACGGTGCTTGGTAACTTTGAAGAGCATGTTGAAGGCTGGGATTCCTAATCAAGTGTTAGCGGCCCACTACTCCTTTAGGGAGAACTAAGCCATGCAAAAGGGAATGATTGAGTGTCGTAAAATCAAAGCACTTCCAACTTTGCTGTGTCGGGTGGCCATCTCTTATTGCCCAGGACTTTGCCCAGGACTTCTGGAACACTTCATGCAAATTTGGTCCGATTTAAATAATGCAAAATTCATCGGAAAGCATAGGAGGAGCGCAATTTATTGCAAACAAGCTTCTCCATTTAATATAAGCAACTGCATCAAACTTGTACTAAGAACCACATGTTGATTACAGAGAGTTAACAACGAAACGCATTCAACAGTTTATTGCTACAGTACACCTCACTATTGAATATTTCTCCACCCTTGGCCCTCACATCGTCTAATACCTGTGTGGGTATTAGATTTTTTTTATTCTCGTTCACCTACTGTCTCCGCCTTCGTGACGCGGCATGCATTTGATTAGCCATTTCTTCTCTCATTCCCTTCCATTCTTCTATTTCTTGCAGGGACGTCAATGGTTGAATTTGTGGATATGGAGGAGCTCCACATTCGCCTTCAAAAAACATGTCCTCTTGCTCGTACATCATGAAGTGATCATCTGAAGGCTGATTTTCCCTAAGAAAATTATGTAGTGCGCAACATGCAATAACGACATTGATTTGCGTTTGCATATATGAATACGGAACCAGACCCCTTAAATAGGCAAAACGTTGTTTCAGGACACCAAAGGATCGTTCAATTACATTACGAAGCTGAGAGTGACGAGTATTAAACAGTTCTTTCGGCCCTTGTCCTCGACCACGTCCTTGTCCAACCCTTACGTTACGTCCTCCCTTGAACGGTGCTAAAAAACCGGGCACCATCTTATAAGCCGCGTCAACGAGGTAGAACTTGCCTACTTCCAAATTAAGAAGTTTAGGACATTAGGGAACCTTGAATAGTTACCCTTCCTAAAGTATTTAGTCAAATATAAATAAAAATCAAATTTTTTATAACCTTGGGGGGGAAATGGAAAATCGGTGTGCATTCTCATTGCATGTTCTAGGACCCGTGCATCGTGTGCGCTGCCTTCCCATCCGGCATAGACATATATGAACCGCATATCATGGTCACAAACAGCTAACACATTCTGGCTTTGAGTCCCATGCCTATTTGTGTAGGCCATCTGCTCGTTCGCCAGAACTGTAGCAGGGATATGTGTGCCGTCCAAAGCACCCACACAATCCTGCATTTATTTCACAGAGGATCATAAATTTGAGATAAAAAAATGCATTATAATATGTCTTACTACGGCAATAAATTAGCTGTCTAGACTTTTTTAAAAAATGCCTTGAATCATCTCGTAGCTTTTGATATCTGGTCCGACCATGAGACAGAAATGGGAGCTTTTGCATTTGAGTCCGTGCTTTACCTCAATCAATGGGTGGTGAAGAAATGCGGCTGATTGATGAATGTATTTGTGGAGACAAAGGCTATCACAATAAATTTACTAGACTAGAAAATCTTCCTTTCACTATTTCCAAAAGTAGAATTCAATTTAAAGTTATAGCACACGGAAAATAGAGAATACCTTGAACCAAGGATAATACTTGCTGCTATATCTTATTTTTGGATGTACTTCGTCACTTTGTTTTGGTTTAATAATCCTTTGTGCAAATCGACACAACCCCAACAGCACTTCTGCTACATTTCTATGAATGGTTTCCGTTGAATGTTGAAATCTTTCAGCTACTACACGAGTTCGCGTGCTATGACTTAGCATAACTAAAGTCATGGCCAGCGATTCCTCAATTGAGACATGCTTGTGTGGATTCTGAGGTACGTAGTTATTGGCTACTAGAACATCACAAAGCCGCATAAAATTGTCTACTGTGATTCAGCAATTCTCCAAAATACGTAGTGGGTGACCTGTTATTAGCTCTTGGACCCACTTCCAACCAGGCATGTCAGAATTGCGGCAAGGTATTTTAATTAGAGGTCCATCGTAACGTTCGGCTTCCGGCGAAAAAAGTATCATAGCTGCAGCATTGAGAATAACCTCTTCGTCTTCTTCAGAGCGTGAGCCAGAAGAGGAGGAAGCGAAGTACGGGTTGAAGTTTGCCATGCACGAAAAGTAGCTAAAATCCTGCAATCGTACAATAAAGTGTGTTATTACTTTATTAAAATGCAGCGTGATTGATAAGTACTTTAGTAGGACTGTGGAAATAGAGGCATTGAATGCAAGAAAAAATGTCTTGGGCAGCCATTGGGAGGGAAAGCATTAACCCACGACATGCCTTTACGTTAGCTGAAGTGGTAGTGGTCCCTTGTTTGCTAGGGAAGGGAAAAGCTGATAAACCCACTCCTTATGTGATTTCAGTAACGGTGATAAAGAATGGGGTTGCACTTCTTTTGGAAAATAAGAAACTTGGATGGCCCTCAAGCTGTTTTGCAGGAGATGTTGCGAACTCAAGGTGGTGTGAATCAGGTCTGATGTTAGGGTATATATATAGGGTTGAATTAGTAGGTTGGAAGCTTTAGTCGGAGGCCTGCAAAGAAATTTGATAGTCCCATGTGAAGTTGTACTAGTTTCCCATGTGTAACGGAGAGAAAGAGATGCCTAATCTGTTCATACTATGCCTTCCTTGGGATCTCCTCTTTATTTGCTCTAATGTTTTGCAAAAGCGAAAAGCATTGCAGGCAAGGTAGTGGGCCTGGTAACTTTCGGTGATCTGAGACAAAGGTTATCGAATATACATGCATGAGGTACAATCATCCTACTGTCGAATTGGCAACAAACGTCCGCTGCTCTCATCCCACTTTGTTGACAAACACAAGCCTATATGTATGTAGTAGGACTGAAGTAGAGTGCTTTTTTATTTTGGATTACGTGTGTGTGAGGAGATGTTGAGATAGCACGCGTGACTTTTCTTCCCAGGCATCATCCGATAATGCTGCATGAAATCCAGAGCCTCGTGGCTTTCTGTAATGATTCCAACAGGCCATTATTGTAGGACTGTGTTCATGCTTGCAAATGGATTCATTCATGCACGAATCCATGCATTACAAGGTGATTGATAAGGCCTCAACTGATAATGGAAAAATTACTTGTTTTGCTTTTTTTTTTAGGATTTGCACAAACCCGCGATTGTTATTCAAAGGTTTCTTTCAGCAATTAAATGAAAGGCTCATTTAGTTTTTATGTCAAACATTTATGAGAAAGATGATATCCAAAGTAGTTTGCAATTTCCGTAATCAAAAGATTTCAGTTAATTTGGTAGTTAATGATTAAGTTTTTCAGCCTAATATTTATAGTTGAATTTAATTTCAACTGATGTGTACTGGTAATTAATTTTGGTAATTGCTTATTACTACAAATTGTTATAAAGACTTTTTTTTTGCAAAAGCTGCCACTTAATCTGCTTAAAATCATTTAGTTGATAATGGAAGCTCGGTTCATTACGAGCTACTCAAATACTAGAAAATAAATTACAAATGAGAATTGCAATAGTACAATTGAAATGCGGTTTTACATTAAACCAATCCATATATAATTAAGTAACTCTTAATTATAAAGACAAACTCCTGTATAAAAATTTAAATAACAACTGAAAACACACACTACTTTTTATTTTTATTACACTACTGTATCAAATGGCACGTTAAAAAAACAACTTCCAATAGCTTCAAAAGGGGAACTGCACAGAAATAGCGGTAGCCAATTAAAAAATTTACTCCATGACATGTACTGAGCCTAATATGAACTGCTCTTCTTTCGAACTAGACCATGGAATAACTAAATGTAGCGTGAAATGTCCTGAACTACAATCATATGCAAATGATATTAGGAATCCCTCCAAAATAGAGAGAGTTTACAGAGGCTCAAGCAGCAAATAAAAAACAAGAACTGTCCGAAGTTAACTTGGGCACAAGCCAGCAACAAATTCCAGAGTAAGATGATATCTAACATACAGCCACAAGCACGTTGAATCCAGCTAAGACATTTATATAAAATAGCTCACTCAAAACGTAACTAAACCAATTTATAGCTCTTAACACATTCTTAATAAAAGGTGGCATCTCCTTTAAAAAAACTCACTACTGAAACTAGTAAATCTATACTTAAGTGGACATAACCAGCTATGCAGTCATCAGAAATGACGCAAATGGGCACACAAGGAATGTGGTGGTCAAAGCCACCTAAACAAGCACCACTTGTTACAGCAACATATAATGAAAAACACAGGGAAACCAACTGTCCGAAATAAGCAATAACAGAGGCACAGCAAAAAACACATGTATTGAAGTTACTCCCAGGGGATTTAGGTCCCTTACTTGCCGACGATCTTTGGCACGATGAACAAATTAATCCATGTAATCCGCTCACTCTCACTGAAGCTAATAAATAAAGCCCGGAACTCCCCATCCAACAATTTTTTCAAGACATACATGTGTACAGTATCGTCCAATTTCAGGTCCTCAACTGCTTTCTTAGCAACCTCAATTGAATACTTCTCCTTCGATTCTCTTTCGGAACATGCAATCGAAGAATATCTATTGAAGTTGCTCAGTGCCTCTTGGTAGTTCTCCGAACCCGACCTTCGGGACTTGGTTCCTCTTGAGCCTTCATTCTCCGAACTTTGTGGAGCACTACCCAACGGTCGTTTGCCGGGATTACGCATAATTGGGCTGTCAGTATCGTCCGATGTGCCCTTAGAATCTGCTGGGTTGATGACAGAGCTAGAGGCAACTCCTTTGCCTTTGAGGGTCGAATCACCCCTACGTCTACGGATACGAGGAGGCACAAATTGGGGTGGCACGAATTGGGCCGAAGATTGAGCACGGGTGCCTGTGGCATGCTTGCCGTCCATCACCTCATCCCATAGGATCATCAAATCAGCACTATTTGGGTGCTGGAATTCCACATAACTTTTGTCGAGCTATTAGACAAAAAAGAAAAGACAATTCATTAAAATACCATAACACTACCCAACACAAGCCATTACTCTTGCTAACAGAAGCCATAACACATGGTAACAGAATTTACAGCAAACATAAGACAATTTATTTAAATGCCAGGAAAGATTAACAGAAGCAAACAGCAGTCTACAATGCGCAGGGATCTAGTATATGCCGGTGTTTGCTATATAAATTCCAGGCTATTGAATAAGTGACACTGGATTGAATAAGTGATAACAGAGCACTCCAAGCTTAAGACCAATAATGTATTTCTAATGCGACATAGTGTATGTCCAAGCAAAAACACACTCTCCACTAAAACTACAATCATTCCGGCACTAAAACCATTCAGACAGGACACCAACAGCCTTTCTTATATGAACAAAATGAAG